GAGACCCGCCTGACAAAGGAGGGGGGGGTAAGGAATTTGGCTTTGGGGTTTGAAGCAGATGAGTAAGCTCACCAAAAGTGTACTGTAAAAACATCCTCCAGTTGGGCACAGTTTCTTAACTGTTGAAATTGCATACACAGAGTGAAGCCAGGGACATTTTATCAGTTTGTTCTTTCATTTATGTTTTGAATTTTAAGTCTGAAAACATTTTAAAATAATAACTTCCTGGCTGGCTGTGTAGCTCAGTAGCAGAGCACCTGCCTGGCACGCATGGTGTCCTGGTTTCCATCACTAGCACCACAGATGATGATACTATTTGACCTCTGGCTATTGTGAAGAAAATGGACGGTGGTTGGGACAGAGGAAGAGGCAGGGAGGCCAGTAAGGAGGCCGCCACAGGGTCTGAACAGGACAGAAGGCAGATGGGACTGGAGTGGCAGAGGTGGAGAGGCGGGAAGGCCATTTCAAGGTCACAAGATTTGCTGATAGAATGGGAGAGACGTGGCTTGGGTGGAGCGTCTGCATAAAGCTGGTTTGGGTGCTTTGCTGAGATGGGATAGGGTGGGGGTGGAGGAAGAGCAGATTGGGGAGTGAAGAGAGGAGCGGGTCAGGCGGGGCACATCACTGCCCGAGGCCAGTGGCCTCCAGCGAGGAGACGGCAGGTGCACAACTGGGTAGAGCCTGGCCCTCAGGGGAGTCAGCAAGTTGAAGTCAGTGACCTGTAAATCCTCAGGCCTGGATGAGATCCCCCAGGAAATGAGACCAAGAAGAAGGAAGGCCCCGGACAATCCCTACTCCATGGGTTCAGAGGGAGGAGAGGAGAGGTAGCAAACAGAAGGTGGGGACCCTCTGCACCATCAGACTGGACTGCACACCCCAAAGAGCAGGCCACATTGAAGGCCACTGCCCCACACCCCAGAGGGAGCCTGAGCCTTAAAGAGCCCCACTGTGCTCTCCCAGCCCCCGTGGGGAGTCTGGGATAATCCCCTCCCCTCAAAGGAAAAGAGAAACAGGGAGTGGTGGCCACACCTGTAACCCCAGCTGCTTGGGAGGCTAGGGCAGAAGGATGATGAGTTCAAAGCCAGCCTCAGCAACTCAGTGAGACCTTGTCTCTAAATACAATACAAAAAAGGGCTGGGGATGTGGCTCAGTGCTCGGGCACCCCTGAGTACAATCCTCAGTTACCCCCACCCAAAAAATGAAAAAGGTAAAGCTTCCAGCCATCCTGGTCAGCCTGAAGGCCCTGCAAACAAGAACACAGGGAGGCTGGAGCTGCGGCCTCCGTCTCATGACCAGAGGATAAAGCAGAGTGGACACACAGCAAGGCACCCACCCACAACATCACTTGGCATCAAAGGCACCCTTCCCCTTCCTGCCCTCACAGAGGAGCCCTCCAGACACCCCAGGGTCAGGGAGGTGGCCTAGAAGCATGGACTTTGAGGACACAACACAGGTCCTGCACAGGAAATCACCCCTCCCCCACTCCCACTAGGATGGGGTGGGGGCCGTCTCTGACTCATCTATAAATCCAGCACCCAGACACTGTCCAGGAGTGGCCCTGAGACCCAGTCCGGCCACTGGGTGAAGCACAGGCGCAGGGTGGGGCTCCCCACAATGTGCTTTATTTTTTATTTGAGGGACTAGATTGAGCTGATTGGGCTTTTTGCCCTCTTCCCTTCTTCCTGCTGGGACATGTAGCAGCCACCACGAGGTGACAGATTGAGGACAGAGGTCTGCATTCAAAAGGTGGCAGAGAGGAAGGGTGACAGGAACCTGGGACCTGATGGTATAATGGAGCCGAGGACCCCCCCTTCGCAGCCTGGGCTTCCCACAGTAGATCTTCGCCCATGTCTCCATGCCGGTCGCTGTTCTGCAGGGGAACAGAGGGGTCCGCCTGTCCCCCTGCCCCTTGGTGTGGATCTTGGCTGGTGTTTTAGTCAGCTTTTTTGGTCTCAGCTGCTGTGACCAAAAACCTGATGAGAACAATTAGAGGAGGAAAAGTTTATTTGGGGGCTCACGGTTTCAGAGGTCTCAGTCCATAGATGGTCAACTCGGTTACTCTGGGCCCAGCGTGAGGCAGATGTACACACGCACACACACATATATACACAAGTACCCCAAAGGCACACCCCCAGTGAACCCTACCTGCGTACAATTACCACCCAGTTAACCTCTCAGGGTTAATGCACTGATTAGGTTTAGATCCTCGATCATTTCATCACTAAAGTTTCTTGTATTGTCACACACATGAGCTTTTGAGGGACACCTCATATCTAAACCATAACAGCTGGTGACCTCTGAAATCTGGGCTTCTCCCACTACACTTATCAACTGTATTTATCAAGATCACTGTTTTGCTATGGAAATCAACATGGAGGTTCCTCAGAGGACTAGGCCTGGGACCACCATACAACCCAGCTACCTAAAACATTAAAGTCATCCTTCTACAGTGAGACATGCAGACCCCTTGATAGCAGCGCAACTCACAATAGCCAAACTATGGAGCCAGCCCAGGCGTCCAGCAATGAATGAATGCATTTTTTAAAATGTGGTATGTATACACCATGGAGTTTTATTCAACCATAAAGAAGAATGAAATTATGTCATGTACAGGAAAGTGGATGGAACTTGAGAGTATTTTGTTAGGCAAAATAAGCCAAGCTCAGAAAGTCAAGGTCATTTGTTTTCTCTCATATGTGGAAGCTAGAGAGGAAAAAGAAAATAAAACTGGGTGGGAGGATCTCATGAAAATCAAAGGGAAAGCAGTAGAATAGAGGACAGGGACGAGGGGGAGGGGAACACTGGGAAATGATTCTGGCCAAATTGTTATATTGTGTGCATGTACATGTCTGTAACAATGAATCCTACCATTATGTAAAACTATAATGCACTGATAAAAAAATATGGAAAAAATGAAAAAATAAAAAGCCTATATATGATAGGATCCCAACTATATGACATTCTGGAAATGGTAAAGACCTGCCTAGCATATGTGAGGCCAGTTTATATCCCCAGCACAGGCATATAATCACCATCATCATCACTGTGCTAATCAAGGTAAATGATGTTATCTGTTGTATTAAATAAATCCTAAAATCTCAGCAGCTTGGACTGGGGATGTGGCTCAAGCAGTAGCGCGCTCGCCTGGCATGTGTGCAGCCCAGGTTCGATCCTCAGCACCACATACAAAGATGTTGTGTCTGCCGAAAACTGAAAAATAAATATTAAAATTCTCTCTCTCTCTCTCTCAAAAAAAAAAGACCTTTAAAATATCAGCAGCTTAACACAATAAAAGTTTATTTTTTGTTCATGTTACAGTCTGGTGCGAGTTGGTGGGGAGGGCCCTATGGTCCAGGTCTGGAAAAAAAGCTTCCCATTTCCAGCCACATTCCAATGGCCAAGAGTCTGTCACATGGCCATGACATATGCTAGGAAGACCTCCAAGGTTCAGTTCTTCTTTTTTTTTTTTTTAGCGGGAGAGAGAGAGAGAATTTTAATATTTATTTTTTAGTTTTCGGTGGACACAACATCTTTGTTTGTGGTGCTGAATATCAAACCCGGGCCGCACGCATGCCAGACAAGCGCGCTACCGCTTGAGCCACATCCCCAGCCCCGAGGTTCAGTTCTTAATTCTCATTTTCTACACCTCTCTGCATGCTGGGCAGTGTGGGCCACCCCTGTCTTTTTGAAGCACTGTTCTGGGGCATCCTTCCTAACTCTAGTTTTCTCCAACACTCTCACCGCTCCTCTTCCTGCACCTGCCCTGAAGGACTGGAGTCCTGAGCAGGATCGGAGTCCTCTCCTCATGCCCACTCTTTCTACTCTGCACCATCTTGCCTTTACCAGCTGCCTCAATGACAACTACACTCAGGACCCTCAATCTGTCCCAAGCCTGACCTCTCTCTTGAGCTCAAGACCTGGCCTCAAAGAATCTCTTGGACATGTTCACCTGCACACATCTCAGAAACACCCCAAAACTATTAATATCCTCCTAAACCTGCTCCTCCTCTAAGGTTTCCTGTTATGAATGGAACCACCATTCACCCAGGGGCTCAAGCAGAAACTGGGACACCATTCCTAACATCTTGCTTCAGGCTCCCACACACTGAGTCAATCATCAAAGACCCTGACACCACCCCCCCTACACACACACACACACTGAGGATTTACGATCTACATCCCTAGCCCTTTTAATTTATTTGTTTATTTTTATTTTGAGACAGAGTCTCACTAAGTTTCTTAGGGCCTCTTTAAGTTGCACAGGCTGGCCTTGAACTTACAATCCTCCTGTCTCAGCCTCTCTAGTTGCTGGGATGAAGACCTCTGAAATTCATCCATTCCTCTGCCCAGCCATGACCTCTACCCAAGTCATGTTGCCATTGCCTCCCACCTAGGCAGATGCAATAGTCTCCCAAACTCTGCCGGCCCAAACCTTGATCCCTACATGGGTCCTCTAGATCTGTGCTTCTTTTGACCATTTAGCTGCATAGGAACCACCTGAAGAATTTGGTTGAGATCCAGAAGTTCTGGCCCCAGCAACCTGACGCTGATTCAGAAAGAAGGTCAGGGGCCGACTGAGAACTTACATTTCTAACAGGCTGCCCTAAGCGACTCCTGGAGGAACTCAAGCTGCCACCGTGGTGAATACTACAATCTGCGCATCAAACAGCGCTAAGACTTCCAGAGCTGCCCACTAGCCACATCTGGCTGTTTAAATTATGAAAACAAACTAAAAGATAAAGTTCAGTTCCTCGGACGCGCTAGCCACATTTCAAGTGCTCAACGGCCACATGTGCCTAGCAGCTACCCTGCGGAACAGGGCAGATTACAAAATATTTCCATCTTCGCTGGTGGCTGCTGAGTCTGGGATCTTCCCAGGCTGGAGGAGGGCCGAGAGCCTCGAGCTCATTGGCTGGCGGGTGGGCGGGGCGCAGCGCTTTGCTTTGATTGGGTAATTTATCTCCGCGGAAACCCAATCCTCAAAGGCGGTGGGGGCGTGGCCAGGCTCGGCGGCCGGGCCCGCCCCGAGTTCCGGAGCCCTCTTACCCCTGACTGGTCAGCTTAGCGGTGAGTTCTGACCATCTCACTCTGTAGAAACCTTTCCGTTCTGGGTGCTTCTCCACCCCCGATCGGGGGATGGGGGTGAGAGGCAGGTCCTCCCACTCTCCTCCCCAGGAACCCTCCCCGCGCCCCCTGCCCGTCCCCCAGCCCTGCAGACCCAGGGTGTACAGGTCCAGCCTCACCCTGGCTGCGCTCAAAGTCCACACCTGTGAAACGGCATGGCCTTGGAGATCTGACAGACTGCTCTGCTGGGGAGGGCGAGGGGGAACGGGAGACTGAGGTGGGATCGTGTCCCCACAGGAGGATGGCTCAGGAGAAGGGTAGGAACCTGTCCGAGGTACAGGCCTGGATCGGGGCCTCCCACAACATCAACGACCTGGACCGCAAGCTCCAGTTCTATGGCCGCTGGGCTCCAGATTACGACCAGGTAACCCATCTGGGTCCGTGCCTGATTTTTCTATCAGTCAAATGGGACTAGCCTTTCACCCCAGGAAAGCTGTAACAATGGTGAGAACCCTACCATCGGGTACTTGCACTGACCAGTTCTTCTTCTGATCCATTACTGCTTCCCTAACCTCAGAGGCACCCCACCAGCTCATGACTGTCAGCCTCTATCAGGGACCTCCCCAACCTGAGACTGCAACTCGGGGCTGCCTGGAGATAGTGCCACTGAAGTATCACTGTGGATTAAGCACAGAGGGTCCTCAACCAGCAAAGGAGCCTGAGAAGCTGAGCCCTCGTGAGGTGGGGACTAACTCTCCAGTCCTGGTCCCTTGGAGGTAGAGGGCACCTCATGCTTGGGTTTCCTCTCACTATAGTCCCAGCAGGACCCCAGGCCCCAGCACACACAAGCTTAGCCTGGCAGACTCCTGGACCACACTACACAGGGGTCCCCCCAAAAACCAGAGTACCCTGTTGCTAGGCCCATCACTCTCTGTCCAGGATGTGGCTGCCCTGCAGTACCGAGCCCCCAGGCTTGCTGTGGACTGTCTCACCCAAGCCCTTCCAGGCCCACCCCATGCTGCCTTGATCCTGGACGTTGCCTGTGGCACCGGCCTTGTAGCTGCAGAGGTGAGACCCCCCTCAGACCCCCTCCCTTTCCTCAAGCCCCTCTCCCTGCTCAAATTTCCTGTCACCCCTGGACCTAGAACTATGTCTCCCCTCTCAGAGTCATTGGCCTCAAACGTATCCACTGCAGGGACCATGGCCCTCTTGAGGTGCAGGGGCCCTGCTGGGAGGTGGCAGGACATGAGCCATGACTGCATCCCTCTCACCCCAGCTGCAGGCTCGGGGCTTCCTCCAGCTGCATGGAGTGGATGGGAGCCCAGAGATGCTGAAACAGGCCCAGGCCTGCGGCCTCTACCAGCACCTCAGCCTCTGTACACTGGGTCAGGAGCCTCTGCCCAGCCCCGAAGGTACTTCCCCTCCTGCCCCCAACACTCCCAGATCTACCCCCTCACCTGTCTCCAAGAGAAGAGAACCCCCTTCTCTTATTGAGCCTCCACCCCTGCCCCTTGCTGAGGTCTCCATCAGCCCTTCTCCCTGGTTTCTCCACCTGGGATCTGACATCAGCCCCATCCTGGGCTGTACCACCAGCTCCTCCATGAGATCTGGGTCCTGCACATGCAGGTGTCAGACCTGGTCCCTCCCCAACCCCCACCATGAGGTACTTTGGCCTCCAGTGTTGTCTGAGGCCATACCAAAAGCAAAGCACCCAACCCCATCCCCGCCCCACCCTCCCTACACACAGGGACCTTTGACGCAGTGCTGATAGTGGGTGCCCTCAGTGATGGCCAGGTGCCCTGCAGTGCCATACCTGAGCTCCTGCGTGTCGCCAAGCCAGGTGAGCCCTGCCAGCCCCCCCTCCACTCACCCACCTTCCCCTCTTCACACCACACAGGCCTCAGCACTCCTTGGGCCAAGTGAGGACAGGGTCCTGCTCAGGACTGCCCAGCTGACCTCCCAGCCCCCAGCAACCAGCCCAGGGTTCCACTCAGTGGCCACCAACAGACACAGGTGCACCGGTAGGGCTGGCAGATGGCCAGCTTGCCTCTTATCTATGGCAACCAGGAGCAGCACCTCTCTGGTCTCTGTCCCTTCACCTGTGGGGAGGGTGGCATTCTGCCAGTGATCCCTTCTCCATTGGATTTCAGTGACAATTGGGTAAAATCATGTCCCTAAGGCCTTTACCTCCCTCCTGGCACAGGGGAGAGGCTCCCTGCATGTCCCGTGCATATCCTTGTACTCCAGCTTCCTCATTCACTCCTAGACTGCCGGAGGGTACATCCCTGTCGAGTCTGCCCAGGCAAGATGAGAGGTGACTGTGAACACTTCTGAACTCTGCACAGGGGTCAGATGTGCAGATAGCGATGTCAGTGCCCCTCCTGTGCGCTCCTCTGCTCTGGGCAGAAGATACAAACCCTGCCCTCTGGCCTCCACCACCAACCCACAGAGCCTGGGGAGGGGCCCAAGGGGACCCCATGAGGGTTCAGCTCTCCAAGGGTTGAGAGGAGAGGCATTCCAAGGGCTGGGAGGAGATGTTCACCAGGAGAGCAGCCTGCGAGAGGTCACGAGCAGAGCCACATGCGTGCAGGCACAGCGCCTAGCGTGAGGACCAGGAGGCTCAGGCTGGTTGCAGGACAGAATCAGGAAGTCAGGAGGCAAAAATGCTTCCTCTCACTCTGCCCTCCCCAGCCCGGCCTCAGGGCCCAGCTGTGGCTGTGGTTAAATCTGGGCAGGTCTGGGCAGGCCTCAGCTTCGGGAAGTCCCCAGGCCGACACGCAGGACATGCAGGAACATCGGTGGGGTCACGGGGCAGAGGTGGAGACTGGGCTCAGAGGGCAGGAAATTCCCATCGCACGAACCAGCAAGGACCAGGCCTCCTGGTCCATCCTGGGACCTCAGGTTCCTCAGCCAGCGGAGCCCTGTGCACTGGCCCAACGGCACAGGTGCCCTGCCCCAGGGCTGTCCTCTCACTGTGCCCCACCAGCAGCTCCATGCTCCTCCCAGCCCCTCCTCCAAGAATGTTCCCGGAAGTGGCCATTGGGTCTTCCACTTCTCCCCTTTCAAGTGCATCCAAGGCCACACTGGGCACATGTAGGTGCCTGGACTGAGGGGACAAGATCCCTCCTCCCTTCAGCCAGCACTGCTGACTGCCAGGCATTTTGTGCACACACTTCCTGTGAAGCAGGATAACCAGCCCCTCTCCACCTGCTGGGCCCCTGAGGCTGGGAGAGATGAAGGGACTGCCCAAGGTCCCAAACTCATGTGCTTCTTTCCTGAGCAACCTGACTCAGCTATGTCCCCAGCAGAGGCGCTGGGTGAGCAATGAGCAGAGAGGCCCCTTGATCCCAGGGTGAGGTCAAGAATTCCCACTCTAAAGGACACTTGGGCCTGGAAGGGTACATGGGAGGCTGTCTAGGTGAGGAAGCTCAAGGCCATGCCTGGAGAAGTGACAGGAACCCCAAAGCTATGGAAGGGGGAGAAGATGGGCTGAGGAGAAGCTGAAGAGCTTACAACCTTGCAGAGGCGAGTGGGGAGGGTCAGGCCTCCCTGGGACTCACCCTGCTTGCCTCCTTCCCCTGCCCTTCCCCAGGTGGGCTGGTGTGCCTGACCACCAGGGCCAACCCATCCAACCTGCAGTACAAGGAGGCACTGGAGGCCACCCTGGACAAGCTAGAGCAGGCTGGGGCCTGGAAACGCCTGGTGGCCCAGACTGTTGACCACTGGGAGCTGGCCACCTCTCCTCTTGAGGTGGCACCCGGCTCCAAGGATGGCTTCATCTCGGGCATCATCTACTTGTACCAAAAGCAGAGGTCTCCCTGATGGAGGGAGTGAGGCCCGGTCACAGCTCCTAGCTGGCCTCTGAGCTTCCAAGTGACCTTAGCCAGGCCCATCTTCTGGCCCTCTTTGCTCCATCTGTAAAATGGGACCATTGTATCAAACCTGCCCCTTAAGAATGTTCTGCCTATTAAATGAACTCCCAGAAGTAACAAAAAGACTCGTGGTTCTGTAGTTACCGGCCCCAGGAGAGAGGGACCTCGGTTCCTGGGTTTCAGAACCACAGACCTTTTGCATTCTACCCAGTAGGCCAATCCTACTATTAGGGTGGCCAAATACGAGGCAGAGCCTCTGGACTTGTCTGCCTCCCCGGGGCAAGGTGTAGGGATGTTGATGGAATGAGGGAAAGAAAAAGAGGTGTGAGCTGCCAGGCAAGGGGACTGTTGGGGAGGCAAGTGGTGTCGTTGGTGGTCTTCACGTGTCTAATCAGATGTCAGGGTTCTGTTGCTGTTTTGAAGGACTCGGGGTTGAACCCAGGGGTGCTCTACCACGGAGCCACGTCCACAGCACTTTCTATTTTTTTATAGAAAGACAGGGTCTCCCTAGGTTGAGGAGGCTAGCCTTGACCTTTGATCCTCTGCCTCAGCTTCCTGAGCACCTGAGATGACCACACCTGGTAGTCAGGATTCTTGATAAGACCTAAGTTCAGAAAACAAAACAAAATGGCAGCTTTAACGTGACCCAAGGGTGGAGTTTTGGCACTCTGATGTCAAAAGGTCCCCTTGTACGGTTCCTTGGTTTCAGCCACTTTGAGTCAGACAAAGTAAACTCCAAATACCTAAAAAACAACCAACTGAAAACAATGTTGTGGGGTGGGTGGGGGTGCGGGCTGGGGCTGAGCGGTAGAGTGCTAGGTCCTAGCACGTGGGAGGCGCTGGGCTCAATCCTCAGCACTACATCAAAATAAATAAGATAAAGGTATTGTGTCCAATCAGAACTAAAAAATATGTATATATTAAAAAAATAAATAAACAACAGTCGCCATTGGTGGTGGTATCATGGCAGTAAAGCTAACAGGTCTATTCTGTTTTCCTCTGAGTTTCACAAGGAAGAATATTGCTCTTTGGGTTTTAGATTTTAATTAAGAGGCTGGGATGTAGCTCAGTGGGAGAGATCCAGTTGCCAGCACTGCAAAGTAATATGGACCATTATAATCATCATAATAAACCGTAACTAGGGACCAGCCTGGCCAACATAGTGAGACCCCGATTTGCTAAATAAATAAAATTAACTAGGGTGGGAAAATGACAAACACGGTTACAAGGAAAAAGTCTGTTCCTTCCCTCGCCTTTCATTACCCAGTTACACCTGTGGATTCAAGAAGCAAGAAGTGGCTCAAAAGGCCCCACATACACCATCCCGGAGCCAGGTGTGGCACTGAGACTTCTCCCAGGGTGCTGGGCCCCTCACCCCTAACTCGCAGTTGAGGAAACTGAGCCCAGACAACATCAGAATGTGCCAGAAGGATCCAAGTCATGACCAAGTGGCTGCTGAGCTCTGGCCCTGTTCTGGGGTCTGGAACCAGAGGTCCCCAGCTATGGGCCTGGGCCCAGTCACACTTTCTTTCTTTTTTTTTTTTTAAGAGAGAGAGAGAGAGAATTTTTTAATATTTTATGTTTTAGTTTTCAGTGGACACAACGTCTTCTGTTTTGGGCCACACGCATGCCAGGCAAGCGCCCTACAGCTTGAGCCACATCCCCAGCCCCCCAGCCACACTTTCACAAACACAGGGTTGGGTTTCCTCATCCATAAAGGGACTGGAATGCCAAACTCAGGGTGTGGCTTGGGGGCTGCTCTGAGCAGGGGGCGGGTGAAAGGACTTTGGTGACTGTCAACAGCTTGGGGACATGAATGTGGCTAATGATGATCCCTCCAATGGGGCAGGCTGTGGGAAGGCTTCCTTGGGGAGACTGCTTGGAGCTGGGCCTTCAGGACCAGCAGGATTTCGAGGGGTAGAGAAAGAAAGGACATTCCAGACCTTGGGCAGGGACCCTCTGAACAAAGGCCAGGAGGTGGATCCTGCCTGGTGGCTCAAGGAGGACAGCAGACCAGCCCAGCTGCCCAAAGCTGGGACACAGTGGAGGAGAAAGGGGTAGAGGTGGGTCCCCCCCATCCTCCCGCCTTAAGTTCCCAAGCTTCCTCTAGTGTCCTGTGGACGGGGCCTCCCCTCTCACAGGTGAAGGGCTTGAGTGAGGTGGTTCCCAAGGTTGGGCCTGTTCCAATTTCCCACAGTTCCCTGACACCAGTCTTGAAAGTGCTCATGTCCTGGCCACAGCATGGTGGTCCTGACCCTTACCCTCCAGCCTGCCCTGCCCACCTCCATGGCTAGAATCACAGACAGTACAGAACCTTCCTGTGCACAGGTCCCATTTATTGTAGAAAATAATAATAATGACAGTGATGAATAGTCTCTTAATTACAAAACAGAAACATCAAAGGAGGCAGGGGAGAGGCCAGGACTCCTTCTGGTGAGGCCATTTCCCCTACCCTCCCCAAGCTGGCCATTCCTTGGCAGGGGCAGAGGACTCAAAGGAGCCAGTCTCAGGGTCCTGGGGGTCCTTCTGCTGAGAGGGGTGAGACAGCGAGCCCCACGAGCCCCACGGCAGCAGGGTGAGGCCGGAAGGTGTGAGGGTGGCCAGGCCACCTCTCTGGCGCTCCCTGCCACTACCCAAACCAGTTTATTCCACCTAAACCTGTCGCTCAAACCTGTCCATCCACTCTGTGTTCCACTCCACAGCAGGTGGGTGGGCAAGGCCCACGCTTCTCCATAACCACAGATTCCCGTGACACAGCCCCAGTGGCATTTCCTGGCCACACAGTCACCCACAGTCCATCACACCAGTGCCTGGGCAGGGCCAGGAGTGCCCAGGAACACGGGAGACAGCGGCAAGAGAAGCACTGGCATGACCGAAGATGTGGGCAGAGGGAGGGGGAGGGTAGAAAAGGGACAGTGGGAGGTGCCGGCGTGGGCAGGGCACCCACTTGGAGGCGGAGCCCAAGGTCAGGGCCGAGCTCTCCTGGCCAGCAGGAGCCAGCTGCCGGTTCCACCTGCTCTGGATCTAGGGTTCTTTCAGAGGAGGGTGGCTCGAGACTGTCCATCCTCGCCAGTGACAGGAGGCCTTGGGAAGGAGCCCCAGTGGGCGGGAAGGGCTGCCCGCGGGCTCGGTCCTGCTTGCCCATCCCCCAGCAGCCAGCAGCCCATGGCAGCGCCGTCCTGGGGTCACGGCTGCTCCAAGCTCAGTCCAAGGGAAAACAAAGCCGAAAGGGACAGGTCTGGGTGGCGCCTCACACGTAGTTGCTGGCCGGGGCAGAGCGGGCTGCCGAGTACTTGGCCGAGTAGGGCTTGTCGGCGCGGGGCGGGCAGTTGCAGCAGAGCAGGGCGCCCCCCAGCAGCAGCAGCCCCGAGGCCGCCCAGCCGATGTAGAGCGCAGCGCCCATCTCCCGCTTCTGCCCCGCGGCCACCAGCGGGTTGTAGAAGTCGCGGATGACGTTGTGGGCCGTCCAGGACACAGGCACCATCACCAGCAGGCTGGCCAGCAGGAACACCACGCCCGCCACGATCATGGTCTTGGCCTTGGTGGTCTCATCCTCCACGCAGTTGGTGCACTTGCCCCCGACCACAGACAGCAGCATGCCCAGCGCCGCCACGATGATGCTGATGACGATGAGGGCGCGGGCCGCCTGCAGGTCCTGGGGCAGCGCCAGCAGCGAGTCGTACACCTTGCACTGCATCTGGCCGGTGCTCTGCACCACGCAGTTCATCCACAGGCCCTCCCAGCTGGTCTGAGCCGTGACGATGTTGCTGCCGATGAAGGCCGTCACCCGCCACATGGGCAGCGCGCAGCTCAGTATGGCCCCCAGCCAGCCCAGCACGGCCAGCGCGATGCCCAGCACCTGCAGCCCCATGGAAGCCATGCTCAGGGCCTGCTGGGGGGAGGACCTGGAAGACGGTGGAGATGTGGAGATCGGCTCTGCAGGCTGAGGATGGGGTCCTTGGGTGGGTGGGGAAGGCCTTTCCCTGGGAGGTGGAAGAAGACAGAGCCGAGTGGAGCCCCTCTCTGGAGAGTCAGATGCCCAAGACCAGCAATGTGACCAGACCAGTTCCTTCCTGCGACACAGGGCTCCTGGGCTCCAGGTTGAGCAGTTATATGACTCTGGCAGAGGGGCGGGGGCAGAAGGAGGGGTTTCGGTGGCTGGGGCCTCCCCCTGACCAGTTTCTCTGGATTCCTGAGCCAACAAAAACACATCAAGGCCCCAGCCCTGGGCCCCTGAGTCACCCTCTAGTCTCAGAGGAAACTGCCCTCTCCCCCTGCCCCCAGGTCCATGCTGAGGTCAGCCTGGAGACAGATACTGAGTCACAGCCCAGGGACATCTGATGTTCACAGGGTACAGGTGTGGGGGAGGAGTGGCAGCCAGACCCAGCCAGGTACAGGGCCTGAAGACCAGGGTCCTGGTGACCAGAGCTCCCCTTTCCAGGCTGGGTGGGAGGAGAGGGTGGGAACCCTCAGAGGGGGAATCTGAGGCGGAGTCCTGGGAATGTCCAAGAGAAACTCCACCTGAATACTGTCCTTCCTGATCTTATCACTTTCATTATCATCATCTCATCATCGTCATCATCATGGTCATGATGTGGCCTCAACGCAACCTCTGGGCATGGACCAGAAGAAGCTGAATTTAAGGGAACAGGAGCCGAGGGCAGGGACTCCTGGGTCCACCACACACTGTCCCCATTCCCTCACCTGGCTTAGCCCGTGGAAGTGGCCTTGGAGGTGATGCACTTTGGGTTAGGGCAAGAGAGAGGCCTCTTCCCACTGGGGTTCAGCCTGCTTAGCCAGAAGTGGGTGGAGAAGAAGCCACAGGCCAGACCCTGGAGACACCGTCCACCCAGTAAATGAGTGCTGACTGTGGAGACGCACTGGGCATCCCATGAAGCCAGATAGGCAAAGTCTTCAAAGGGAAGGGAGAACCCGGCCCAGGAGGAGGCAGGTGCGGGGCAGCTGGGCCGTGGAGGGGTGCTGCCGGCAGGACTCCAGGGGGGCCTTGTATCCTGGCTTAGGCCCTGCGACAGGTTCCCCGGGGCAATTGTGTAAGGCAGCAGGACTGAGTGAAAGAGGACATTGCGGAGAGGGGACGAGGGGATGGTAGGGAGGTGGGGAAATGCCGCTGTTTCTGGGAAATGAGGAATCCAGTCTGACCAGAGATGGGGCTGCTGGGGGAGGAGCCAGGGAAAGGGCCAGAAGTCTCCATCGCCAGTGCCCAAGCTCCGGCCCGGATCCAGAGGACAGAGATGAGCAGGGGCATCCCAGGCAGGCTGAGGGGTGTCCACACACCTCCCAAAGGCACCTCTGGAAACAGGAAGGAGGCAGAGAGGCAGGGCAGTGGGCCCAGGATCAAGAAGGCCAGCCTTAGGGTGGGGGCAGAGGGGACCCAGAAGAAGGGGTGCACATGAGGGTGAACAGGAGTGGGGCTCATCACAGCCTCTCCATGGTGGCTCTGTGTCTCTCTCCCCCACCATGCTGGGGAAACGCCTCAGGACCAGAGCCCCCAGATCTGCTCAGCACCATGTCTGGAGTCCTGGGGTGACTGTGTGTCCTTGAGCTTCCTGAGAGTACTCGATACCTGGAGGACATTGGCCCCCCTAATGCCCACTGGGCCTGGCTAGGACCCTGTGGGGTCCACCCATGTTATAGAAGGAGAAGTTGCAGCCTCATGGGGTCTTTAACTGAGCTCAGTTCATTGTCCCTACTGGGCTGAGGGCTCAGGGGACCCAGCAATGACTTATTTCTCCTTGGTACCCTGCGTGGGCTTTCTCATCCGGAAGGTGCACAGGGCGTGTCTGGGGATGGGATCATGAGGACACCTGCTCTCCAGCCACCCACACACCTCCCTCTCACCCCGTGGGGACACACACCAACACAAACAGGGATGGTTTCTGCCCAGACCACACCCCCGGGGCTTTCCTTACAAGGCTCTGAGCAATGGCACAGAAGGCCTGGGAGCCACACAAGCGCTCAGACTTATTGACAAGAGCTGTTTCCTTTCCCGCTGGTGACCTCACCATGGCCTCCCTGTCAGTGCCCACCGCAGGGCACAGAGAAGCAGGAGCTTGCCCAGGCCAGGCCCAGGTCCCTTAGCCAGGCGCCCCTTCCCTGTCCTCCGGCCCAGACAGCTCTTTCTCAGGTTGAGTACAAAGGGGAGATGGCCAAATGGCCAGGTACTTCCTGCAGTCACCCTCCTGGGACACCTGCCAAGTGGCACTTAGAGAAGCAGGAGTGGGGGAGGGGAGCACACAAGCCCTAGAACTTTCCACCTGTAGCCCAACCGAAGTGACCTAACAAGCTGTCCTCTGCTGGACCCAGCCAACCTCATCAGGAGCAGAGTAGGGGTGGCCGGAGGCCAGGGGTGCAGCAGGGACTCCAGAAAGAGGCCAGGGCAGCCCAGGAGGTCAGCAGGGAACAAGGGGGGCTGGGGTCCCAGGTGTCCTAGGGAGCAGTGAGCAGCTCCGCTCAGGCATGGAGCTGGAGAGAGGTTGTGGGTGCTGACTGCTGCCCAGAGACATGTCTCGGCCCCACCCACCTGCCGCTAGCAAAACACCTTCTGAGACTGGACACTTCCTGAGCCCTAAGGTGGGGGAAGAAAGGGAAATTCACCTCGTGCTGGTGCCTGGCCCTCTCCCCAAAGCGTGGACAACCTCTCACTGGGATGCGTTAGGATACGTCTGCCATTTGCCACCTTTGTTTTGGGGTCACGGAGGGCAGAGCTGGTGCTTGTTATTTTCTTTTTTTTCCTCATCTGTAAACCTATTCACAGGCAGCACAAGTTTAAGCCGTCCTATCCTGGACACCCCTGCCCCAACCGACCCGACCAGCTCCGTCATCGCAGCCCTGGGACCGGCTCCAGTTTTAACTTCCCCCTTTTGCTGGAGGATTTCATAAAGGCCCACATTTATGTGTGAGCTTGGCCAGTCCCTCCATCTGTCTACCCTCCCCTATCTAAGCGGGATGTGGAAGGAGGTGAGGACCTGATGGTGCTCCCTGAGCCAAAAAGCTGATGGGAAACTGCACCATCCACCGACTGTCCGTCCGCCCTGTGTTCTTGGGAACATCAGCTTCGTCTCAGAGCCTCAGCTTCTTCCCTGTAAAAACGAGGACACGGCCACCCGTTTCCCAGTCTCAGAGAGACGCTAAAGGAAATGAGGATGTGAAAAGCTTCCCGACCCTGAAAAGCTCAGGACCACAACTGGGAGGGAAGGAGGGAGGGAGGGAAGAAGGGAGGAAGGGAGGTTGGTTGGTTCCCTGCATGTGCCCTGCTGCTCAGATCTGGTCCTCCTCGAACACACCAGGAAGGAACTAGGACTTCTCACAGCCCTGTCCCTAGAGCCCAAGGTCAAAGTGCTCATTTCTTACCTTAAACCAGTTCCCTCCCTGGTAATCCCAAATAAGGGGCAAAGACAGTCCCCTGAGCCACCCTGTCCAGAGGCTGGCGGGCCTCCCTGAGCAAGCCTGACATTTCCTGTAGCCTCCTTCTCCCGGTGTCTTCTGGGGACAGGGAGCCTAAAGCCAGGGAAGCCGGTGTCAACCGAAATTTATTCCTCCCACCAAACACGACATCTTGATCCTCATAAAATCAAGCAGCTTTTTTAAAGGGAAAAAAGCAAGGAGGCTCATTCTCAGCTCAAAAGCTCGTCTAGTTTGGAAATTGGTTCAAAACTATTTATTTTTGTAGGAATTCGCTAAGTGCTCAACCCACGAACACCCCCAGCCACCACACACAGACGTTTCAATCCTAATTCTTTTTTTAACCACAGACAAAACCCAAAGTTATAAAAATTTTCAAAGTAAATGATGCATGAAGGGATGTCACAAAACGTGCCAGAGATACCCACCCAGTCACTTCGGAGTGACATCCCTGGATTGTTCCAGAAGGAAGGTCACATGGACAGGAACAACAAATAGGCCATCACATCCAGACACCAGCCAGTGTGGACTGGCCACTTCCCACGTGGCTCTGAGGGCAGCAGGGGGGATCTGCCCAAGGTGAACCCTGGGCGGGGGACTTTTTGAATCTAGGTGGCTCTCCTGTGAAGTGACCAGCCCTCCGTGGATGGAGTCCAAGTTCTGCTACTACCAGTAATGGACATTGGGCAACCGACTCAAACTCTCAATCACTTTTCACATCTGGGACAGGAGGGTGGCAATTCCTTGCTCCTGGTCATAGGAGGCTCGGTGGAGACGTGAGGGAGGGCCTGGAAGCTGGCCCCTCTCAGCCACTGAGATCCTTCCAGTCACCTGAAAAGGGGCTGGCAGGGCCACCAGAGGCCCTAAAAGCTACAGCACCTGAGCTCACAAGTGAAGGCCCAGCCCAGGTGAGTGGGGAGCCCCCGGCCTCACCCTGGCAGCCTGCGCCATGGGCCCTCCAGCAGCCGGGCTTGGGGCCCAGTGATCATGGGCTTGGACGCCTAGCCCAGTCATGCTGGGCAGGTGCTGCCCCAGGCTGGGCCCCACAGAGGCTGGGGGAGGGGTGCCTCCCAGCAAGTGAGGAAGGCCACACAGCTGCGGGCACTTCTGGGGAGAATGGTCAGGCAGAGGCTGAGGGGGCTGTGGGGCCTGGGAGACGGCCTTATGAAGAGAAAGAGGCTTAAAGAGAGGACAGGACCCCAAAGACCCATGTTAGATTACTTTCCCCCAAATTATTAGCTCATCTGATTTCAGCTTCCACCTTTTGATTTTATAAAGGCCCATGTTTATGTGTGACCTTAGCCAGTTCCTCGGGTTGGGGACACAGCCCAGTGAAGTCCTGCCTTCCCCCTCCTGGGGCCCCATCACCCACCCAGAGCACCCAGAGCAGCCCTCCAGCGACCTGCCATGTTGGCCCAGTTACTCCTGCCTATCCCACCCCACCCACTGTTCAGCCGG